GCATAAAAGTTTGAGAAGGGTGTTTTACCAGAATCATGGTTAACGGGAATAATTAAACCGATCTATAAGAAAAAAGGCGATAAATCTGATACTAACTCATATAGACCAATCACTCTACTTAGTTGTTTCGGAAAATTGTTCACTAAAATATTAAACAACCGCCTTTCAGATTTCTTAGATACTAATAATGTTTTAACACCTGTCCAAGCCGGGTTTAGAAAATCATTCTCCACTGTTGACAATGTATTAATAATTTATAATCTGATGCAAATTTTGAAAGATAGGAAACAAAAACTCTATTGTGCCTTTATAGATTTTACAAAAGCTTTCGATACTGTTTGGCGAGAGGGAAAAAAATGCAAATGCTTGGTATAGAGGGTAAATTCCTGAATCTTGTCAAATCAATGTATAGCAATATCAAATCACTTGTACAATGTAATAATGATGTATCAAACTACTCCTCATGTAACAACGGCGTCAGACAAGGGGAAAACCTGTCACCTTTACTATTCTCCATTTTCATAAATGATATTGAAACTCATTTACTTACTTCAGGCTGTAATGGTGTAAATCTAGACTATACTGAAGACGAAGACTTGGTGATATTTGTTAAGTTGTTAGTCTTATTATATGCAGATGATACAATATTATTTGATGAATCGTCAAAGGGACTACAAGATGCTTTGAACTCATTTAAGGACTATTGTGATTCATGGAAGCCAAAAGTGAATATAAACAAAACTAAAATAGTAATATTCGGGGGAGGACCATCAAAAAGCACAAAAAATAAATTTAATTTGAATGGGAAATTAATTGAAATAGTTGATAGTTATACCTACCTCGGTATAACTCTCCATAGAAATAGAAAACTCGTATCAAGTATTAAAACTGTAAGCAATAGTGCCTCAAAAGCAATGTATAGTTTAGTGAAAAAAGCTAGAAAATTAGCCTTGCCTTTAGACTGTTTATTATTAGCATTTGACTTAATGGTAGTACCTATCTTGACCTATGGTGCAGAAGTCTGGTCTTTCGAAAACCTTGATTTTTGGAGAAAATTCATTTAATATTCTTAAGACTCATTACAGGATTAATAAATTCAACCCCTCGTTTCATGTTGTATGGGGAACTAGGAAGATTCCCAATTAGAATTATGATATATAAACGTTTATTAAACCTTTGGCACAAGTTAACTTACCAAGAAGGTGTTTTTAAGCTTACGAACTTAATTTACAAGTATTTATCACTTTAAACAATAGATAAAAAAGATAATCCCTGGCTCTCGCACGTTAAAAATATATTAGACAATACTGGAATCTCGTATGTTTTTGAAAATCCCTCAATTTGTACTACCAAGTGGCTGGTTTCAAAAGTCGAACATATTCTGAAAGATCAATTTATCCAAAACTGGCACAATGGCATTATTTCTAGTCCCAAGGGTATACACTATCAGCACCTAAAGCTATTTCCCAATTTTGATGTATATCTCCTCCTTCTTTACCATTATTGAGATTTAGAACATGTAACCATAGTTTACCTATTGAGACGGGCCGCTGGTATAATATTCCAAGGGACGAGAGAACGTGTCAACTATGCACTTCTAAAAGCATCGCAGATGAATACCACTATAGTTTTCATTGCAAAGCATTAGATAATTTGAGGAAACAATATTTACCCTCCCATCTAACCTCTTTTCCCAATGAAACAAAACATCTAGAGACATAGTAAATCTATCAAAATATATCCTACATCTATCATCTCTTGTCAGAAAAAAATGTTAAAATGTTGTTTACTTCATCTTGAATTTGAATTTGTATTTGTATATATGTTTACAATATATGCTCTTGTACCACCAAGGTGGTTTATGAGAATAAAGAATTGAATTGCAACGTCTGAATTATTTATTCTAGTTATCTAAACATTCTAAATTCCAATAATATGCAAGTTTATATTTTTGTATCCACGAATGAAATCAATACTAGGGATGATACTTTCATAGAATTTGATTTTTAAGAGATATTAAACTGGGGAATTCACGGAGAGCCATGCAACAGATCTTCAGTTCAAAATGTTAGCCGAGTTGTCTGAACTTAACTAAGTTGACATATCCCTTGTGGATAGATGGATAGAAAATGAATAAAATGTATTTTTATATAGAAAATATAGATGACATGATCTGAAATGTGAAAACCAATAAGCGTCATTAAAAATGATTGGTTACATATGAATATATATTGTTTTGAAAATGGTGGCTGTTTGAATTACTTAATATATACTGATATAGTCTTAGATGAAAAAAATATGGATCAGCTAACTCTGTGAAAAATCGTTGTTGTTTTGAGTCATTAACTGAATATGAATAAATGCACGTTTCTTGATTTGAACCTCTCATAATGCATGAACCTGTCTGTATAAAATCTACAATTCACACAGGTTATGTCTGGTATGGAAATATACTTTGTGACGTCAAAAAGACGATATTTATTTTTCTTGATTCTTGTAAAGAATCACATGTTGCCATAATTGATTTATCATAGTACATTACATTCTGATTCGCTTATAGTATTTTCGAGTCTTCTTGGAGGTTACGGAAAGGGGCAAGGGGTGACGAATGGCCTCAGACGACTGAGGCACTCTTTACATATAAACACAATGGGTTACTTAGCGTGTATTGCATACTTGATTAAGAAATCTTGGTCAAAATGTCTTTGCATTTCACATAATGGCATGCGGACCCTGTTAGTGTCTTGACATAGAATCGTAATAGCATACTGATTTTACGAATCTCTAGCATTCACGTATTTCTATCAGTCAGGAAATACAAAACGTATGAGACATAACAGGTCATCCCTTTGCATCCTTGTATATACTCTTCAAAAAAAAGAAACTATACATGGTGTTTTGGAATTTACTTACTGAGTGCATATAACTGATTCAAACATGACATCATTGCTCAACTATGGTAAAATCATCACTTCACAAATTTCCAAAACATGATTATCAAGAAAGTGTTTGGTAAAACCACAGAGGGCTATTAAAGCCACTTGGTCAGAGTAAAATGTCAGTATCTGGCGTGACCACCATGAGCATCGATAACAGCTTGGCAGCGGTGACCCATAGCGAAAAGGTGAGGTGAGGTGAGGTGAAAGTGGGTTTTACGTCGTGCTTGAGAATATTTCGCTCATATGACGACGTGCATGCGTGTGAATGTGTATGTGCGGCTGCGTGTACTAGCCCAGACTTAAGCTGGCTTTATAGTGCTAGCCCACTGAGATACCATGCCGCAGTGAAGCATGAATACCCCACTCAGACACATTATACTGACTCCGAGCCGACCAGTCCTTGTTGTACCCATAAATGCCGAGCGCCAGGCAGGGACCAACAAGTACCTTTTTTTTCACGTCTATTGGTATGACGCGGCCGGGGATCGAACCAGTGACCTTCCGCTCTCCGGGTGGACGCTCTAACCACTACACCACAGAGGCGGTTAGAGGAAAGGTGATGCCGAATGCTGTCTTGAGGAATGTTTTGATACTCTTGCTGAAGTGCTGTGTGCAGTTCTTGTAGTGTCTGAGGTGGCAGAATACGCTGGCGAAAGCGTCAATCAAGGGTATCCCATAGATGTTCAATGGGGACAAATCGGGGCGATCGAGAAGGCCAAGGTAGCACCTGAACATTGTTTTGCTGGAGGAAGTCCTGTCAAATACGTGCAACGTGAGGTCGAGCATTATCATGCTCCAAATATCAACCATTGACGTTGATGAAGGGAAAAACGTGACGTTGAACTGGTCTTCTGGTAAAAAGTCTGGCTTCCCCTAGCCAATTGCGCACTGTCTGGTCGAGATTCGGCGAAGTCCAGGGATTTGGATTGTTGTGGATGATGCTGCCGTGGTGTTTGAACGAAGGTGTCCCAACAGGATGTAGCGACCATGGGCGGCGGTGGTAACCCAAGGTCGACCTGACCTGGGTCTGTCATTAACACTCTCAGTATTGTACGTTGTATCGGGTCCACAGTTTTGAGATCGTCTGTCTGGACACGCTGAAGTGCCTTGCCACCTCATGCTGCGATGCCCGTCCTTGTAAACGGCCGATTGTGTTGCGTCGTTGAGCTTCTGTCAGTCTTTTCATTCTCTTGTCGTCTATAGTGGAGTGCCATTGATGTGGCTTTTTAAAGCCTGAAGTCATAGGCTTCAGCTCAGGGAGATACACAATTTCATGATGCACGTGCATTTCATGTTGGGTGCGTTTTAGCGATTCATATTACTACAGACGTGAGTGTAACGTTATGCTTTTGTTCAACGTTTCTTTTTTCAAACGTTTTGTCGTCGGCAACCATTCCCCGACATGTGGGGATTCAGCATGGATTGGTTTGTGTCAAATATTTTCCTAAATAGTTTCTTTTTTTGAAGAATATATATATTTGTACATAAATATAGTCGATATTAGAAATTGTTAAAAAACTACCAAATTATCACTAAAACTAACCTTAACAGATGGTGAGATGCCCTTATAGTTACTATATAAACTTGCCAGGAAAGAGATAGTTCAGTGGAGTCCCAGCATCTTCCAGGAAAATGCTTTATTGAATCACTTGTAACTTCCTTTTGATAAACAATAATTCTTTCTGTTATTTTCTACCTCTTTTACACCTCTTCCATTGTCCGCGGACGGTGCGTTGTCCTAATGAACTACAAAATCGGACTCGACCAATTACTGTTAATCTTTCTCTACACCCGTGATGATCCGGGTTAGAATTGATCTGCAGTAATCCATGTTTGTCGTAAGAGGCGACTAACGGGATCGGGTGGTCAGGCTCGCTGACTTGGTTGACACGCGTCATCGGTTCCCGATTGAGTAGATTGATGCTCATGCTGTTGATCACTGGACTGTCTGGTCCAGACGCGATTTTTTACAGACCGCCGCCATATAGCTGCAATATTGCTGATCGCGGCGTGAAACTAAACTCACTCACTCACTCTTTCTATACGTTAATAAATACTCACATCAAGAGACGTCAAAGTGGCAGGAGCAACTGGATCACAACCTGTCGGAGATATTGTCTCTGAACGTGAGGACGTTGATCATTTCAAGTTTTCATCAGAAACATAAATCCATACCGTGACCATTATTGAAAAATGACATCTTCGTGTGGTAGGATTTGTTTACTTCGATACACTGTCGACCCATTTCGCTTGGCAATCTCAGCTATACGACACAAAACCGCCATGTTGCTTTCACGACTTTGTTCCCGCTAGTACAACTGGAATTTTCCTGTTAGGCCCGCATAACCACTGTGTGTTAACGAATACCTTCTTAAGGTCCCGATTGCCAGGTAACACACTGCGTTTCATCTGTCACAGCTTTGTTATCAGTCCTGGTTATCGACGTGGCGTTGTGTTCAGCTGTGCAGTGAACTTTGCGCGAGGATCACTGGACTTTACTCCTAATTTGCCTAGTGGTGTCACGGATTGTCTGGTCCAGACTCGATTATTTACAGACCGCCGCCATATAGCTGGGATATTGCTGAGTGCGGCATCGCCGCCACCGATACAGTGAATCGATACTAGGGCTGGGACGGGTCCAAATGTCCTACCCGGGTACCCCACCCCTATTACCCTACCCTACCCGGATACCCGTCATTTTAATTCCTGACATATAATTTGTAAGAAATGTCAATATATTCTTCAGCTCGGAGGCTACAATTCCGAGTTTTTCAATATCTTAACCATGTATTATATTCAAAACAGGTGACTGTAAACTAAGTCTAAACCTTCAAGACAGTACAACCTATTAATCATGAAAGAATAACAGATTGCATTGTTTAATCTATTAGTCACATGATCATAACGGGTCTGGGTATTGAGACGGGGGTTATCTCCCAAAACTTGTACATGCCAAAACTTCTACAAAAAGTCAAGACAGAATTATGCACGTACCTATGGGTATAATGGAACAGCCCAGGGGTGGGATTATAATCGACTGAAGGACAAGCTGCTCACCAGGCAGAAAACACCATTGGAATTTTTAGATGTTGTCGGCCACCTCCTAAAACTTGCCCAATGACATTAGAACAATCAGATATTATGTTGTGACATTTCAAATTGAAATCAGTGCTGATGTGGCTATAAGACACATAAGACAATACCATGTGTTTTTATAAAAAATCATATAAAATATTACATGTTATGATATTTATATGTCAATAAACAGTTCATCACGCACCTACTACCTCTTGTACTTGTATTCAACTTGATCTTAAGCCTAATTAAACTTAACTAGTCAGACTAGTCAATCCAGTGACTTGAGGTAAGGGACAGGGGATTAGCTGTGCACTGGACCATGTATTTTGTTGTTTTAGTGTGTAAAAGTTTTGGCATGTAGAAGTTTTGGCAGGACACCGAGACGTGTACCGGGTCCAACTCATTACCCACCCGTCCCGGGTATCCGGGTTACCCGTCCCAGCCTTAATCGATACAAAGCTTTACATTGTCGTATATCCCGATATAATACATCAAATGGGCCACGATATATCGATGATTAACTTTGAATATTACCGAATGTCGATATGTGTTAAGATCTACCGTTTTAGAAATCAGCCTAAAATTAATTCTATTATGTAACTGCAGTGACAGCATCCAGCAGCATGCAGATATTAAAGATGTTTTTGATCTACGTTTTCTGTTTATAACAGTATCATGTTTCATTTATTTTGTACTTGTTTTTTAAAAGGTGTGGAGTTTTTTTCAAATTAAAGGTTCTTTCGCCACTCATATATCGGGATTCGTGTCGTATCGCAGCTTCTGTGCACAATACTTTGGCTATATATCGTCGTGACTAAAATTTTAGTATCGTGATACATCATATCGCAGGTTGTATGCCTGTAGTTGTAGAATATTCAAAGTCCCATCTCGTGATGATACAATTATGATAACGCGTATAAAAGCACATTTTTTGACATATTTACCCGTAAGCTAACTTGCAAGCTTTAAACGGAATATACGGACTAAGCTACATACAATGAGTCAGAAGTTGTTATTCATAAAGTTGTATGTTTTCTTATCCCCTTATCAACTTCGAGAATGCCAATGATGCCGTTGCCTTGTATCGTACACCTCCAATAAACATTCAGAAATAATAATGTGTCCATCTATATAGCGCCAAACTCCACACTAGGTATGCACATAGCGCATTTATTACCCCGGATAACCCAAGCTGCCTATTAGGCGCTGGAAGGTTATAGTCTCATGACTTATTCCACCGGGTACCCATTTTTCTGCTGGGTAAACAACTTCAATTTTGAACAAAAGTCACTAACCTGAGGTGAGACCACATGTATCATTATCTTCGATGTGGGAAAGGACTGAAGTCCTTGAAACTCTCAGGAGTCAAGCTGCCAAACATGGTCACCCATCCAAAGACACAATGTGTTGAACGTTGCTTAACTTCAACTGATTTGTGACCTGAGCTCTATGCACAGGACCACATGCCACCACATTCAACACCTTTACATTAACTGAGGTCGAAAAAAATATTGCTTAATACCCAAACATTATAAAGGCAATATATAACACGCATGTGTATGTTTTTCTATAGCGTTGCATATCGGATACGAATATTTACTTGAAATACATGTCCACATATACTCTCAAAAATAGAGGAAAAAACCCCGCATATTTGGAATTTCAAAATTAGTGTTTGATTGTTATAAATTCGCCATTATAATGTTTGTTTGTGTAGTACATGGAACGAATGCGCATCACAAAAACGCACATTCGGAAAATTTAATGCATGTTTACGATCGAAAGTGTCAACTTGCATGGAAAGATCATGGAGAAGAGTGGTTCGTAATATGCATGTGTAGTTCTGAGGATCACATTGTTACATGCTTTTTTCATAAATGTCATCATCACCCCCCCCCCCACCCCAAGCCATAAATTATAAACGGTCCCATTAATAACGAACAGATATCAAATGTTCTATTTCTTTGCAATTTTATGTTTATTGATTTTTATGTGTTTTAAGGCTGAGGTGTTATTTGCATGTTTATAATATTATTGGTGATATTTCAGTTTCCATTTGCTGTGTTTTCATGTTAGTTCAATGTTTATTCACATATCAGTAAATGGTACATGAATTATCCGCTGAAAACAGTCCCCTCTTTTCATCATATGCCGCGTATTAAACGCCAGTCGAGTTGGTGTGAGGGTCCAGGTAAACTATAGAGCAATAGAAAGTTATCCACGACTTCCTAGGACCAGAAAATAGAAAGAAAGACGTATGTGAGATTTATGATAATTATTTTACAAACACAAATCAATAATTTGACGAAATTACGTTGTTAATGCTCGCCTTGTACTTGATCCAATTAGTTAAGATTGTGTCAAGGGGTTAAAATCAGAAATTACACAAATCAGAGTTCATTCTAAAAGTGAATAACGAGTAACATAATGAGAAACGGCTCAGGGGAGACGTCATCAGCAAGGAGTGTGACTACCATGGGCATCTATACACGCCAACCCACGTTTCCTCATTGACGTCGTCAGTCAGTGGGTAATGTCAGCAACAACCTGTTTCATAAGTTCAAGACAGTCTATTCAAGTTTCTGTCGTTTTGCTTTGGGTGGGACAAGCTGTCTCAGCTGGCGATCAAGAAGATCACACAAATGTTCAATGGGGTTCATGTCTGGAGAACGCGCTGGCCAAAGCAATACGTTCACGTTCACGTTGTGCAGGTATTCTCGAACAGTTCTGGCGGCGTTAGGCCCTGCGTTGTGCTACAAAACGACTCCTCTTGTCTGCTGTAGAATACAAGGTCCCACAAAAGGTCTCAACACTTCATCCCTGCATCGCTGGGCATTCTGATTTTTTCGGATGATAACCAGTCTTATTGTTTGCTGGAGACAAATTCCGCCCATACCATAACTCCCCCTCATTCGAACGGATGAATTTTATGAACGCAGTTTGGCGCCAGTTGCTCTCCTCGAAAAACACGAACTCTGCCATCGTTTCTGAACCGACTGAACCGACTTTCATCGGTTCGGCCTGGGTTTGGCCTGTTTGCTGTTAGCAGTTTGCTGATGGTGGCCTGGCTGCAGTTGAAGGTTCTTGCCTGCTGATGTTGTGAAGCCCCCATATTGGTCATACTGATAGCCAGTGCGCTTGCATAAGTCTTGGCATAGTCATAGTGGGTTTTTTTGTTTGTTCTTTTCTTGGTTACTGCATGCTTGCTCTGTCCAAAATCACTATTTGCAATCATGCACGTGCATTTGGACTTATGACCCACAATTACGTTTTTCACGTTTTGAAACTACACGATTCGCTCGACGTTACCGGACAGATGCGTTGTTATCGAGAACTGTTATGTTGCGTTTTGGCGAATAATTTCTGCTTGAGTTCATACCTGTACCCGGTTTGGTTTTTAATACAAATAGTTGAATGTGATAACTTTCCTTTGCCCGGTAGTTTTGTATTCCATAACCACCTTGCTACAGACTATCGTATTCCTTTTTTCTCATTTCGTTTATATTTGTATAATGTTTTTCGCCTTCCTGGTTAAAGTTTTCAGTGTCAGGGGCTCAAGAAATTGATATTCCTTTCTGAAACAATCAAAATTGTGTGGGCTATATTTACAAGAAACATTATAGTTGCAAAAGTGATGAAAGCGGAAACCATATAATCTTCAGCCATAGAGATACAGACACCACGGGCAATGCTTTACTGCATTCGTCATCACTCGCCACTTTCCGTAACCTCCAAGAAGACTCGTCCCCCTATCGATGCTTGTTATGTGCGAAAATACGACAAACCAATCAGAACCCGCGTAAATGACGGCGGTGCTTGGGTAAATATAATCCCGAGTACTTAAATCGTTTATGGACATATGTCATAGTTTAAAAAATCATGAAAACTATATATCGTCATATTGAAAGTACAAAGAACCTAGCCCTAGCTAACAGGATTTTGCTGCCTATTTAACAAATATTTCCAAAAGGTTTGGTGGATAATATCAAACTTACTTTATAATTTATTACTTCTTATTAAAGACTTAACTTTTCATTGAGCTTTAATGGCTTGCTCAGAGAAAGCTCTAGTCCTATCAATTTGGGGTTAACGATTAGCCCTAAATGGTCATATGCCTAATTTTACCATTATAAAACCGTTTTTTATACTTTAATACCCTAATGACGAGAATATAGATATAATACGCCTAGCCTCAACCGAAGTTTAAGTAAACTGCTTGCCATATTATTTACCATTTCCTCTGTGATGAAAAGAACGTCATCAAACTTTTCTTTTAAATATATTTCGGTTTCATTTATAAATATCTGATGGGCCGAGGGTAATAGTATAGACTTAATAACATGCACAGTTGAGGATTAATTTAGAGTATAGACTTAATAACATGGATAGTTGAGGGTTAAATTTACTTCACAGGATGAATTTCTGTAATGACTTCATATATTCTAGCCACTGCATATCACACATTTCCAAATTGAATTTTTCAATAACCCCGGGAACCTGCTGAATGTAATGAATACTTCAGTATTTTGCCTCCTTTCGACCCTTTATTGTTACTTGTTACAATATGCTTATTTGCTCTTCACAGAAACAATATGAATTATATCTTTTCAGCAGGAACTCGTCATATGAGCAATGGCTGATGAAATAGCCATTGTTGGCATTGGGTGCCGGTTTCCTGGCGCCACCTGCCTGGAGGAATATTGGGATATGCTTGCAAAGGGAGAGAACCATGTGGTTGACATCCCCCCTGAGAGATGGAACAAGGATGCCTTCTATGACTCTGATATCAATGCTGTAGGGAAGAGCTATTCTATGAAAGCAGGGCTATTAAAGAAGTGAGTACAGACATATTATATGTCAGTCAACCCCAAACAAAACGCTTGCATAAATTACTTAGAGAGACTTTTATTAATTCAATACAAAGTAATGCCCAGGTTAGGTTTTGCATGAGTTTGTACTTAACATAAGCATAGTGTCCCGTACGAATATACAAATAATATAGAACTGATATAATCCTTCAGCTTTGATCACTTCGACAACAAACTTTTTAAAATCAACGAAGCCGAGGCTGCCCAGATGGACCCCCAGCAGCGCCAGGTGTTGGAGTGCACGCACATGGCGCTGGAGGACGCCGGCATCACCAGGCAACAAATAGCAGGACAGGACGTGGGAGTCTTCATAGGTTCGTTTATACCAGTTCGGATTTTGGTCGTGTGTTGTTTTGTACTCATAGCAGTATTCAATATATATGTACCGTTATAGTCGAATTAGGGAACGATAAGCCTGTAGGTGAAGGCATGAATTTGATTTGATAAACCAATAACCACCACTCAACAACAATGTCAAGTATTAAGATTATAATGACGTTGTCATTCATTAATTTTAAAAGTCATTCGAAACCGTCATCTTTGTGGTAGTGAAATTCTTATATCTTCCTTGTATTGCATAAAGATACATCTATAAAGACACGCGCAGGCCCAAAATAAGGAGATGTATTAAACGTATTTAAGTGTACATAGGTCGCTTAAGCTTAAACGTAGATGAAGGAAATTCGATACAGGGCGGGGCGGGGCGGAGGCGTTCAGGTCAATACCTTGCTGCCGTCACTGTTCGACACCGTCTTGGAAGGGATTACACAAATCGTGAGATTGTTGCTTGGGGAATTCTTCTGAGTATCGGAGGACGATGGTGACGTTTACGGACGCGTCGATCAAGTTCGTCCGAAAGATGCTCGGTCGGGTTCAGATCCGGCTATTTGGAAGGCCATTGAAGTTTATTGACGTTTGCATTGGTGAGATAGACACCTGAACATTACACAAGCTGTGGGGTCGAGCGTTGTTGTCTTGAAAGTGGTTAAAAAGTGGGAGGAGGTGAAGTCGCAGGATTTGGTCGATTTGCTGTTAGATTGCCACAACAGCTCTGATCTACCCATGTAGGGTATGGCTCCCCACACCATGACGCTACCAAATCTGTTCACATGTCGAACGCAGTTCGGCGCAAAATGTTCGCGTCGGTGCGATAGACACGTTGGCTCCCATTCCGTCGTTGCAGGAGGGAACGCGATTCATCGCTGAACCAAACGTTCGACACTTCCCCAGGTTCCATGCCTGTATCATGTTGCATCCTAGGTCACGTTGTTGTAGGTGTAGTCGTGTCAGGACAGGTCCAACTTTTGGTCGATATGTTCGAATGCCTACTTCTCTCAGACGATTTCTTGTGGTTTAGTCGCAAATTCTTCAAAGACCAGGCACCTGTCTTGCTATCCATTGCTGTAGCAAATCGGTGACGTAGGTGAAACACACGGATAAATCGGCCCTGAAAAGAGTGGTCACTCGTGGTCTTCCACTTCCGGGACGATCTTTGGTCGAATTGAAGCGTGTATATCGATGCCATAATCGAGATATGGTGCTGTGGTGGACGTTGAAGTGTCTTGCAACGGCAGACTGTGACTCCCCTGCTTCGAAACGTCCAATAGCGATGTGTTGGTCAGTGGCATTCAATCTTGGTACTTTGTAACTGCGTTCACGACGTAAATTTCCTAAGGATATGATAATTTTGGTTTGGCCTTTTATAGTCTCTACTCATGTTTCCGACACATTGCAAGTGCATTACGTGGAATGCGTTTCCTGCATGCACTTTTCATGTTACGTTTTCATATTTTAAGACAACGTGTACAAACTCATTTTAGGATGCGTTTGCGCGCAATGCACAACAGCAACGACATGATTAACGAGATTCAAACATAGGAATTGTCTAAATGACGATTGCTGTAAAATATATATATACCATTAAAACAGTAGTGGATATTGGATTTACAAGATTGATAAATTGCAAATGATGAAGCGAAGGAGGAAACAGATGATGAAGAGAAATTAAGGGAAAATGTGACAATTTATTCCATTCCTTTGGAAATGTTTCATCTGTATGGATATATATTACTTTTTATCATATGCATTGACATTGGCTAATGGTATGCTCGCAAAATGGAATATCACCTACTTTTTTAATGGTATAGAAATGAACCGCTGAAAAGGCCCGTGCGTTTCTCTATTTTGAAGGGTGTATAATCATATATATATAAACATATTTAAGGTTCCATGGCGGTGGATTATCAGGATTATATCTCTACCAAATCACAAGACGTCACCAACCACACTGTGACAGGCCAGGCCAGGGCTATAATATCCAACAGGGTGTCCTACGTGTTCAACCTAACAGGACCTTCCATGACCATAGACACAGCGTGTTCCTCATCACTCGTGGCATTACACCAGGCAGGACTTTCACTAAGAGCAGGTGGGTAAAGATTCACATGACGAGCATTTAGAGTAGATGGGAATACCAGATAATTAAAGCTGATCAGAGGAGGCGGGTAAAGCATAACATCACGGGTACTCAGTGCAGCTTGGTACAGAATATACCAAGCTGCACTGTCAGAGCAGGTTACGAACTTTTACTTTTCACTATAGTTTCCCTTCAGTTCAATACACTTTACCCATTTGTGCTGCAAGCTGGTAATACCCTGGAAATAGAAGTCTTTTGACTGGTCCCAAAACCAAGCTTCTGTTGTAGCCTTGAGTTCATCCGGAAAGCGGAAGGTCGCGGGTTCGATCCCCGACCGCGTCATACCAAAAGACGTTAAAATATGGTACTTATTGGTCCCTGCCTGGCGCTCGGCATTAATGGGTACAACCAGGACTGGTCAGCTCGGAGTCAGTATAATGTGTCTGAGGGGTATTCATGCTTCACTGCGGCATGGTATCTCAATGGGCTAGCACTATAAAACCAGCTTAAGTCTGGGCTAGTGCAAGCAGCCGCACATACACATTCACACGCATGCATGTCGTCATATGAGCGAAATATTCTTAAGCTCGACGTTAAACCCACTTTCACGTCACCCCACCTTGAGTTCATCATTGGCAAATCGTCTTCCACGCAAGTGAGGCTTCAAATTTCGAAAAAAAGTTATAATCACTAGGTGTCAGACAAGGACTGTACTCGTGGATTCTGCCCTCTAGTGTGAGGACATGAACTATAGCTCTGTATTCAGAATTGTCCATGATATCAGTAGGGTATCTCTCTTCCAGTTATCACAATATTACTGTTTGTTGCAAGGTGTTGGAACGTTTACAGGTATCTCATGAATAATCAATGTATGCAATGCTACTAGCAGCATAGCTGTTTTACAACTTTAAGTAGAGAGTTCTCAAAACGTTTTGACCTCTCCTCGTCTATGCCATTGCACGAACCACCACTCGACGATACGAGAGAAGGCAGTCGAACTATTTCAGTTATTCAAAAATAACAAATCGGAGACTTAGGTGACTATATATCTCCACATGAGATATCCAGTCTCCCAAAGATCACATATGTGAGGGAAAGAATCATTCAACATGTAAGGAGCTGTTTTCATTTATCCTCCTTTACATTTCAGGGTCTCGATATTAGAAACGCTGACCACTGTTCATCACTAGTCCCACACCCTATGTTGCCTGACAAGTGCATATGTCTGAACCTTTGTCTATATTAACAACTTTCAGGTGATTGTTCTATGGCAATTTGTGGAGGGGTGAACCTGACAATTCACCCAGGATATTTTGTCAAGTTAAGCAAAGCTCAGATGTTGTCTCCCACTGGACAGTGCCACTCCTTCTCAGCAAATGCAGATGGTTACACCAGAGGGGAGGGATGTGGAATTATCATCGTCAAACTCTTAAGTCAGGTATGACACTTGTCTAAGCATTCCCGATTAATAACCTACATGTGGCTGTAACTGATCTGTTTGACATAACCATGAAACTACCATATCAATCCTCAATCCTCAAAGTAAAGCAGAAACAATTATCCCGTTAATTATAAATTTCAGGCTTTGCATGATGGTGACAATATTTGGGGAACTATTGTCACGGGGTTGAATCAAGATGGCCGCCAGGTTACGCCCATCACAGCACCATCCGGGAAACAACAGCAGGAACTGCTGAATGACATGTACACACGGCACGGGATCGACCCGACTGAAGTAGACTATATTGAAGCTCATGGTACGTATACCATAAAGAAAGGCGGTTCGTATGTCTCAGCCTAATTTGAGAAGTAGTAAGATTTGTTAGTCTATTCCCGAGGTATGGGGCCCTAGTGAATACCAAGGTTATAATTTGCCTTCAGTTATTTACGAGTTCGAATGGCAGGATCACTGCTTGGTACTTTCATTTCCCTGTATCCGTATTCGTAGATGATGCCAGTCACTTGATCATCTAATAAGGACTCGACTATTTACAGACCACTATTGCTAGAATATTGATGACGACGGCAGTGGAGTCTTATCGGTTTCTCAGCAATTAATCAGGTTTCAGTTTTCCGTAAATTTACCAAACAAAACGTTAAGGAAACTGAGTAGAATCTTAAGTTTCCCCTATTCTTTCAATTAGGTTTCTGTTCTCCTGAAATTAATTCCTTTTTTTGTGACAATATCTATATATATGGAGTTAAATTTATTTCTTCCATAATCGTTTCATTAGAGGGGGTTAAACTGTTAGATTACATTCATTTAACAGTGGACAAAAAAACCACCTAAACAATTGGAGCAAATTAAGAAACAGCAGAATTTGTTTAGAGAATCCTGGCCAGATTTGTCCTCAGGGTCGTCAAAGAGAAAAGAAAATACTATTATGCATACTGGACATCTCACAAAAATATTGCATGCTTCGCAGCAGTGACCCAAAATATACCTTGTGTTCCAAAACAAAGAAAAGTTATTTCTTAAATAGTACTTTCCTCCTTCATTGTGGAATTCCTAATGAACTATCAGAAAGGCTCCAATGGTTTGATCATTTTTCATTTCTTATTCAGTATTGAGATATCAGCACGTATAAACAAACATAACTGACATATTTGTTCTTGCATTAGCTTAAAGTGGCTTATGTATATGTTTTTATGACACATCTGATGTCGAAAGTTGTCAACTCAAAACATTGTCACTTCAGGTACTGGAACCAAAAGAGGTGATCCAGTAGAAGCTTCAGCTCTGGGAACCTTCTTTGAGAAGTATCCACGCCAGCGCCACATCGGGTCAGTGAAGACCAACATCGGCCATCTAGAAGCAGCTGCAGGTGTTGCCGGACTCATCAAGGTCCTGTTGATGATGAAACACGACACCATTGTGCCGTCCTTACACTTTGACAAGCCCAATGAAGAAATAGACTTTGACAGATTTCAGTTTGTAGTACCAACAAAAAATTCTGACTGGAAACGTCATAAAAAGATTGCATGTGTCAACTCATTTGGCTTTGGTGGTAGCAACAGCCATGCTGTGTTAACATCTTTTACAATGGAAACACCAGTTATAAGTGACATTGCCCTACCAGTTTGTTTTTCAGGCTCCACTGAGAAAACGTTAAACACATCAATAGCAAAATTCATTGAAAGTGGTAACAGTTCTCCTTTCAGTGCTGTTGCTTACACTTCATGTATAGCCAGAGAACATTTTCCGTTAAGAAAAGCTTTCTTTGCAAACAATCATGCTAATCTGAAATCTCAAATACAAGAAGAGTTACAAAAGAGAAACCAGCCATCTTATTCGGAAAAAGAAAACATTGTATTTGTTTTTTGTGGCATGGGGACAGCCTGGGAAGGAATGTGCAATGATCTCATCTCCAACAATGATCAGTTTAAGGAAAGCATTTTGGAAATTGACAAATCCCTCTCCAGGTTTGTTCAGTGGTCCCTGATGAAGCGGCTCCTTGAATGTGATGATGTGAACGATCCGCTGTTCGGTCCAATAGCCATTTTTGCTTGTCAGGTGTCTCTCGCTCACCTGTGGGGAACCTGGGGGGTGAAGCCTGCAGCTGTTGTAGGTCAGTCAGTTGGGGAGGTGGCTGCAGCACATGTTGCAGGAATCCTGTCCTTGGATGAAGCTGTGAGGGTCATCTACCACAGGACTCGGATCCTGGCTGAAGCCACGGGCGGAAAGATGATGCTTGTCCGGAATGTTGAGACAGAACAAGTAAAGACAGCCTGTAGGAAAATTCAGAGTAAGATAGATGTAGCTCTTTATTACAGCCCGATCTCCTGCACTGTCAGTGGGGATGAGAGGTCTGTTCAGTTAGTCAAAGAGGATTTGAAGCATTCTTCAGATAGTAATGCACTGTTTCATGAGCTCCCTGTTACAAGTGCGTTCCACAGTCACTTTATGGACTCAGCAAGAGTTCAGGTTGATGAAATCTTATCCGATATCAAGACATCTGAGATGACAAGCAGATTTGTCTCGACAGTTGATCCTGATATGGATGAAAGTACAGTTATGTCAAAGATCTATTGGGGCCTAAATGTAAGAAGTCCTGTTAGATTTTGTGATGCAATCAAAAGCGCCGCACAAACATCCAAAATGAACATTTTTGTTGAAATAGGCCCACGGACTGTACTAAAGTCACATCTACGGGACATTTTCAGAGATTCTACCCCCTCTGTCACATCCATTCCTTCTCTTCACCCCAAAGCGAGTTACGGTGACATTCTGCAGTCACTCATCTTGTTGTATGACTATGGAGTTAACGTCAAATGGGACACTTTCTTTCCTGATAAGATGCAAATAACAAGCTATCCATCTTATGTCTTCAATACTAAGCCCCTGTTAGTGGTGTCTGAAAGTAAACAACAGATGCTCAAGGGTCAGAAGGAAACTGAAGGAGATCACTTGTTTATCAAAGGCAACACAGAGTCAGCAAGCTTAGTCATTGACCCTCAGAGATTCAAGAGTGTTTTTGAACACAAAGTGAAAGGAGCAATCATTTTACCAGGTGCCGTCCATGCTGAGGCAGCACTTGCTTTAGCCAGAATGATTGACATGTATCACCTATGTACAATCAGTGTTTCTGTGGCCTTCAGGAGCCCAGTCAATCTTAAATCTGGAAAAGTGACAAACCTGGATATAAAACAATCTCACAGTGAAGTTGACTCCAGCATTTTGAGTACATTTGTTTTGAAGAATGGAAAGACAGTCCACGCAGAAGCAATAATAAGGCAAACACCTGCGGATGAAACTCCAGAGAGAGTTGACCTTGGGCCAATCAAAGAAAGATGTAAACACTACTTAACTGGAGAGGAAGTGTATCAACATTTGGCAGCCAATGGTTTCAACTACGGTGAAATGATGTCCGTTATTTCAGGTAGCCAAACAGCTGGAAATGAAAGCCTCACTGTACTTGAAGTTGGATCTAAGCTCCAGAGAGAAGCACATCACACAATTCTTCACCCTGCAATACTAGATGGCATGCTACAGACGCCTGCAACTGTCACGCAAGTGATCAAAGATATGCTTCCATACTCTGTAGACCATGTGATAGTCAAGAGGAAGACAGACAGAAAGATGTTTGTGCATTTGAAAGTGTTACATGAAAGTGAATGGTATGTGTGCTATAGCCTGTCACTGCTGACAACCGAAGGGTATGTCATTGCACACGTTGGAAAATTTACATTGAAGGCCATGGGTATAGAGTCCTTTGATGTCAGGAGTGTTGCATACACAATTGAAGCAGAAGAAATGCATCCTGAGCATGACACTGACAGCATAACAAACCTTGTTATGTTTAGTGATGAGATGTCTTTGTCAAAGACCCCAAACTATCCATGGACAGTTCACCATATGTCCATTTTATATGGCGATAGCTATGTCCCAGACCTGTTCGAGTCATCTGGAATAGTAGTTATGTTTCAATCCAAGCCTCACTTTGTTCACAATGGAATGGAAATGGAGAAAGAATTGGAGGAGAAGATCATGCCTTTAAGATCTCTTATACTTAAAATGTCACAGCATGCCATCAAGACACCCTTGCTCATTGTCACAATGGCAACACCATTAGACTACCAAACCCCAGATAGAAAATCTCATGCACTTGCTTGCATTCACGAAAGTATTCGGGCATACATCAGATGTGTTAGGAGGGAATTCACAAGG